AGCAGTCTCCATACCCAACCAACCACTATCTGCTTTCCTTTCTTTATCCTCTGGAGTTGCCCAGGGTTCAAGCATATATCCTCTCCTTTTCAGCTCCTACATTAACGACCTACCTAAATCAATTCTCCATTGTTCCCATCACCTTTATGCAGACGATTCACAGATATACCTATCATTTTTCCCTCCTGAGTTACTGGGGGCATTTGCCAAGATCCAAGAAGACCTAGATCGAATCAGTGCCTGGGCAAATGTAAATGGATTAAGGTTAAATGCTGCCAAAACTCAGGCCATTGTCATTGGTTCCAAGCCCCTCCTTAGATCCTATACAGACTTTCCCATCCTTCACCTTAATGATCAGCCAATCTCCTTCTACTCCTCTGTTAAAAATTTAGGATTTTTCATTGATCAAAACCTCTTTTGGAATCACCATATTTCTCATATCACTCGACGGACAATTTCCATCCTCAAACTATTCCATCGCTTCCGCCATCTCCTACCTCAACATACGCGTAGACTGCTAGTTTCCTCTCTCATTTTCCCCCGCTTTGACTATAGCTGTGTGGTGTATGATGGCCTCTCTGTGGAGCTCCGTGATAGACTGAAAAGACTAATGAACAGCTGCGTAAGATTTGTGATCGGGGCCCCAAGATACTCCCATGTTTCTCACCACTACGCTGAGTTAAAGACAATATTTCCTAGGTACGTTCCTCTACCAAATCATCAACAACCATCGTCCTTCTTATGCCTACAACCTTCTCCAGTTCAAATCCTCAGTCCATTCCCTGTCCACAAGATCTCGACCTTCTAACCTTTACATGGCTTCTCACAGATCTGCCTCATTCCAAAATTCCTTTATTGTTCGCTCTGTCAATTTCTGGAATTCCCTCTCTATCAAAATTCGACATTCCCCATCCATATCCACATTCAAAATCCTCCTATTCCAATTCCTATCCCAAAAACAGTCAGATAGTTGCTAACCATTCGAGCTGATTTTAATAGAGAATTTGATACATTTTTATTTTTTAATTCTTTATTTTTTTCGTAAAAGTGTATACTGGTCTATAAGAGAAAACAGCTTTAAGTGTCTTGTCATAGTATTAATGGTTTTGTATATAGTTTAGTTTGTTTTGTATATAGAATTTTTACCTTATATTTTTTTTTACTTTATTTCTTTTTTTCGATTGATTTTATTTTGGCCAGATGTAATATATTAATTTTGTTCTATTTTGTTATTCTCAAGGGACTGTGTCCCAGAATAAAGTTATTATTCTATCTAGATATGTCACTTGTTTCGTAAGTTAATTTAATTAAGTTCCTTTCCATAATATAATATTACTGTGATGTCTGGTGCTCTTTAAGGATTGCCTATCTTAACCACAGAATATGATCGCAAATCTCCGTTCAGCAAAAAGCTGTTGCTATCAATTTTTCTAGAAATCTTTATTTCGTTTATTCAATTGTTTTCACTGTTAATCTGATTATTTTGCGCTACATAATTATACAAGATATTGGGAGATTTAACGGACATCTTATTAGTCTTGTACAGTGTAACGGCTATAATAAATAATTATTTATAAAAAAAAAAGGTAGGAATTTATCTCTTCCTACTAGTGTTTATAACGAAAACTATTAGATAATGATAAGCCTGGACGAATGCTAGACAAGTTGAACATGTAAATAAATTATTTTGAACAACTTATAGTTTTGACTTTTTTCCATTTGATTTCTGGCCCATAGTGCTTCGTATTGATGGACATGTCAATTGCAGCCTTATCCAGCGTTCAGTCCCTCCCCTCTTCCCCTCTCCCAAGCAGATATATCAGCATGGAAAGGTGTAAGAATATATAAAAACCGTGTCCCTATATTGAATCCACATAACAAGTAGGGGGTTTCTAGTGAAGAAACACACGTTTCTTCAAAAATATAAAATTATTTACTATAATTCAGTACGACAACTGAAAGTTCCTAAATGTTTATTACCATCAAATTTCTGGGTATAAAACACTTCTAAATTGCCATTTTTTAGCAAATTGGACCATATTCTATCCGTTCTTGTTCGCCTTGGAGGGTGCTACAGCGTCAAGTGATAATTTGACCAATTAATATATATATATATATATACAAAGCCGTACGGGCTAAGGCGCTTGCAATAGGTAATCAAAGTTAAGCAACGTCGAGCGTGGTTAGTACTTGGATGGGTGACCGCCCGATTTGGGTGACCGTCGACCAGGGAAAGCTATGCTGTCCGAGTCTCTCCCCCCTCCCCCCCCGGGTATGTGATGCCCGTCAGAGTACTGGAGGCAACCCACACCGACCGGGCGTAGGACTGATGACCCTACCCCGTGTACTTAAATAGGGAATCGGGATGTGGTTTTCCAGAATGCCTCCTAAGGTTCGGTCCATGGACGGTCTGTTTCGGGGAAAGAAATATAGGTCCCCGTGCGCCTGCTGACTCCGAGCAGCCATAATCCATGGATCTAGACCGATTTGTCACTGCCCTTGAACCCGAGAAAGTCGGTGGGAAGGACATTGCCAGATTGGCCCCAAAGGGATCGGCTTCATAGCTCCATAGCTACGGGTGGCCTGCCGCTGCACCATGGAAACCATAGTTCGTAGCAACGTGAGGTTGGGTGACCCCCTCCAGGCTTCCGCAAGTATCACACGTCTGTAGACCACATCTCGCGGCCAAAGATCTTCTTGCTCTGTAGTGCCAACCGAAAAATATATATATATATATATATATATATATATATATATATATATATATATATATATATATATATATATATATATATATATATATATATATATATTTTTTACAGACCAAGAGATTCAGTTCTTTTGTATAATTTGTAGGTATTGAAAGTGCTAAAAAGCTTAGTTATAAAAATGTTTATGTTTTTACTCATTTTAGTCCATAAAAATGTTATTTATGAATCAATAGTTATGAAATTAAACATGAAAATTTCGATCAGAATGTTAAAAAAATATTTTTCATCGTTAGTAGGAATTTGACTTCCTAAGAAAGATCAATATAAAAAAATGTTTTTTGCCTTCGGATTTCGGACTTCTCATGACTACTTCATTTCCCTATAGCCAAGTTCACTTCATAAGAATATGTTTATAAATGTGTAATTATTTTCAAAAATGGTTATTTGTTTTTTACTAAATGAAATAATGAAAACGTGAAGATTTTAAAATGTTTTTTTAGACAAATTTATTGTTTTCTAATTGTTTATTGTTTCGGTGCGATCTTCTGCAGCTCTTCTCCATTCTGTCACTCCTGGTAGCCGCAGTCTGGATCTACCTCGTTTTCTTTTAACATCCGGGCGTTCCTCTATTATTTTCCTTGGTGTCTCTCGTGGTCCATTCAGTGTACATTTCCCAACCATCTTATCCTTTCTTTCTTGACACACTAAACCAAATCTGGGTTTCCAAATAGGCCTCTAAGTTCCTTGCTAGTTTTTATTGTATATCTATTTTAGATTTTGGTATAGATATATATTTTTTTCTCGCGATTTTTCTCTTCCATGTATTGAGAAATCTCTCCTGTCGCTTTGTAAGGATCCACGCCTCACTTGCGTACATCACTACTGGTCGGAGAACTGTCTTATATATTCTTACTTTGATTTCATGAGATACGTTTCGATTTAGAAGAATTTTCCTGAGTTCCTAATAGCTTTCGTTGTCATTTTAACTTTGTTTTGAACTAGTTCTTTGAATATTTTTGTAAGAAATGAGGCTAAACAACGTTTTGCTAAATGCAACTAAATGAAATTTACATGGAAAATAATTGTTATGTATTTTTCTTGCAGTGATTAAAACCAGCCTCGGGCCCGTTTTCGCAAGGGGCTCCGCCCTGGTCTACAAAGTTTTATTTTTCAACTTCTAAATTTATATTAGAATAAAATATATACAGCATTACATATATTATATTATAATTATGTAATATGTTTGTTACATACTGTATGAAATGATTCTGTTAAGTTTTAGTGATAAATTTAATATTTGAAGAGTTGCAAAAAAATTAACCCTGAATCCCTTGTTTTCTCTCCAGGCCCTTGGGTGGACTCCCCTCACGTGTTGTGTAATCTGAACTATCTGTAATATGGGTTGTATGGATACCTTTTCAGGTTATCAAGAGCGATGGATTTTGATGAATGATGCATCAAACCATAGGAAATTTAACTGAGAAGTGACGAATCCCATAAATTTTTTTACAAAGATTTCAACGTGGACATCAAGACCTAGTATAGTTCCTTCGGACTGATGGCTGTATTTTAAATCCATAAAAGGTACCAATTTCGAGATAATTCGTGACTCTTGCCGAAATCCTAACAGATGTATAGTTGCCATGGGATACTTATAACATGTTTAGGTTTTGAAAATTAAAATATTGTTATTTATGATAGTCTTAGACGAACTAAGAATGTATTGAAAAGGTAGAGGATAGTAAAAAAAAAAAAAAATATGCCAGGTATGACTTATTTACTAGAATTCCATAATCTTAGTGAGAGAACTACAAACTAAGGTTCATCTGCACCAAACAAATAGTTTTATTGCTTATCAAATTAACTGGAAGGATATTTTCCAGTACGACATGCTAATCAGTTATTAAGTGTATTTTTACTAAAATAATTGAATAGACTGTCTTGATATTATTACATTGTATTAGTATAAAAACGTTTCGCTGGGGTGCACTAGTAAGAATAAATTCAAGTCAGAGGTTTAAATAAAAACTTAATGAATCTCTATCCTTGAATTCTTTCTTATGTGAATTAATGAAAAAAATAACTTCATATAGAAGTAATATATCTCAATAAATAATTATTTTGTCAAAAACTTTCCGAAGCAAAAAAAAAAAACATCAAAAAGACTGTTCTGCTATTAAAGGTAAGGAAACGCTTCGCTACTTGGTTTTGATTCCTGAAGACCATGCATATCATCACCCTCCCCTGACTTATCTCTTCGATATATTGTGGAACGCCTTCAGCTGAGGAATGGCGGCCATTTATGACACAAACTGGAGGAATGCGTCCATTGGAGCTTGTCGCATCGGGTTTGGAGAATCAGATGCTAAATTTGAGCTGGCTTGCATGATTGGAGCAATTTGGGTTGCGGTTGCGGGTAATAGATCCTGGTGGTAATTGTAGTGCTGCCTTGACAATTGGCACCCTACGGATATTCCACCTAATATTAGCATCCATTTCTCCTATGACAACCAATACGAAATTATTTAATTAATGTTCTTGTTATTTTTTAAATAATTTTATTTGTTTAAACTTTCTATTTTTCACTCAAATTAAGCGTATAGGGCAAAGGCCGAATACCAAAAGTGAAATTAAGTTTTAAGAACCTTTTTCCGGTCCTTGGCTAGCTGAAGAATATACCCTTGCTATTTTTTCAGAAAAGATACAATAAGGGCCCTCCAGAGGGGTATAAAAATGACCTATTGTATCTCATCAATTTTTTTTTTTAAATTCAAGCAATTGAACAATATAAAGTTTGTTTTCCTCTTGTGCCTTATTTTTAATGATAACAAATTGAAATTTTGAATATTTACCCCATATACAGGAAAATATTAAACGTTAATGGCCCATTCAATCAATTCCGTAGTTATGAAGATTGGAGCTCAACAATATTCTTGTTCTGAAATAATGAGAGAAAAAATTGTAGAATTCTGCAAAAAATGCTCCGTCGACCTCCACCACGAATTAAGTATTTTTATAATCTAGTCACATTTGAGGAACCTCTGTAAAAACTTAATTTGCAATAGAGAAAAATTGTTGCTCGAGATAAACGGGATCATTTTGCAGTTTATGAGTTATGTCCGTCATTTTGCAGTATATGAATTGTTTCCGTCATGGCAGGTGATATAAAAGTGAAAAATAGTTTCTTAAGCCAAGACTTATTGAAAAGAGAAGTTATAAATGATTATTTTTTAGTTAGTTATCGATATATTTATAACAATAATGTTATTTACGTCGTGTAATCAACTAAAAAACTGTCTAATTTTAATCATAGATTGGATAAAGTTTACCACGACAAGACCATTTTTCGTCAGAAATATGTCGATTGATTGGAATTTTAGTTTACAATTAATTTTCAGGATAATAGTGACACACGAGATTCCTTTCATGAAGTGATAAGGCCTAAAAATAATCTCGATAATTGCGGAAAAAGAAGGCTACAATTTTAATTGTTCCTATTATAAAATGAAAAAATATAATATAATAATATATAATCTGTTTATAATATAATTTATATATTTAAGTATATTACTATTTCAAATTCAAAAATAAAAATGAAAAATGAATAAGTGATAAAAAAAAATCTTTATAAAATTTTACATTAAATTTGTAGTAAACCCAAGTTAGTAAGTTTATTAAAAACTCAGTTGCTTGGTCCAGGATTTGTGCTCTATAATTTTCACGTATTTTGTGTCGTATAATCGACTGAATTCTGAATCGATCCTCTCCCTATACCCTATCTCATCAAAGAACCGTGATATTGAGAAATCCTGTATTTTCATAGTGACTTTGACCTACTTTTAGTAGGCCAATAAAAGAGCACGGTGAACCCATAATAGAGTTCGTTCCAAAGAATGATTAGGATCTTTTGCAGAATTTTTAATTCAAAATTACGAAATTTTTTTCCGAAAAAAACTAAGCTTTTGCTTATATGTGCGGCCTCTTGCGATCTTTCGTGATAAAGGGTACATACCTTGGATAAGTTTTTTTTCAATTCTGAATAATTTGTAAAATAACAATCGTTTTCACAAGTTCAAAATAAAGTTTTACATGTCATGTATTGTGAAAATAGTATATTAGCTTTTAAATTATTTTATCATCAAATTTGACTAAAAAAAATATTTTTTTTATGAATAATGAATGATCCAAGGAACAATTGATATCGTCAACACTATTTTAAAGTAACTGAAGAGTAACGTTGGAAAAATACACATTTAACATGGCGCCGACGATATAATTATACCTTAGGCCGCTGTTTTTACCTTGTGCTACCATTTGTAGCTAGTATTCCAGTAAAGTTAAGGAAAAACAGCCTTTCCCCAACATACAGAAAATATAATGAAACTCTGCAGAAATTATTTGTTACCCTTCCCATAATAACTGGTAAAAAGTCCCAAAGAATCCCACGTCGGGTTTTGATAGGGAAAGGAGAAGAATACAACTCATATATATATATATATATATATATATATATATATATATATTTTTTTTTTTTTTTTTTTTTGAGAATATCTCAAAAGTTATGAGATTTTTCGCAAAGATTGTTTAGTACAATATTAAAGTAATTTAAAATATGTATAAAAATTATTCTGTACATTTGTTTTATAAACTCAATAGTTACGGAGATATTTTTGAGATCATATTTCCACTTATGGCAAAAATTGCTCCAAACCACACCATTTATATTGTTCTAAGAAGACGATAGTTTTTGAAGTTTGATTTTTTTTAACATTGTAGACCTTTTAAATTATTATTTAAAATTTCATTCTTTTAATGATTCTAAAAAGTCATTGACAATAGAATCATATTCGATATCAATCAATGGGGACTTTCGTGATAATGATATGAAGTTTAGATTGGCATTAATTTCATATAATAAGAGCAAAGTAATGTGTATAGGACGAAATGAAGAAAATGTGAAGATCCGATGCAGAGGATAAATCTTATTTAGTCATCAGTCATCAGCAGGAATGGAAAGATTGATGGGAAGGTTTCCAACCGGATCAAAAAGGCAAATAATGTCTACTACCAACTATGCAACACAATTGCTGGGAAGGGAGAAGTGGACAAAAACATGAAGCTGGAGATTTTCAAGGCTATGTGCCTACCTACTCTTCTTTATGGAAGCGAAAGCTAAGTCCCACTGGACAAGCACTGGAGTCGAGTAACAGCCGCAGAAATGAGATACCTTAAGAGAGTGCCTGGCCGAACCAGAAGAGATATGGTTAGAAATCAGCGAATACGAGAAGAGCTTTCGGCAGTAAAATATGTGGTTGAAAGGGGACAGCTGAAATGGTTTGGCAACCTTTGCCGAATGGGGGAAGATCGGGATCTAAGGAATTACTTCGAAGCTAGGCCAACTATAAGACATTCCCGGGGCAGACCTAGGTTATCCTGGACGGACCACATCTCCAAGCTGGGACAGCAAAGGGTGCGCGGGCTAAATGCCATGAAGCACTGTTCAGAGACCGGGATGCGTGGCTGGCATGGACTAAGGCACCTCCACGCTGAAAGACTTAAGGAGGAAGAAATACTTAAAATCTTATAGTTTTTGAGATATTCTCAAAAAACTAAAAAGATTCCAGTTTTACGTCCTTCTTTCTCCTCCCTCCATCAAAACCAGAGGCGGAATTCTTTGCAACTTTTTACCAGTTCTTATGGTTAGGGTAATAAATAATTTATTATGTTATTTTAAATATTTTTTTAATGTTGGGGTAAGACTGTTTTTCCCTAATTTTACTGGACTACTGGGGGCAGTATTTTTTTCAATAGGAATTATTATAATTATAATTGAATCATAAATATCACTGAAATAAATGTAAGAAGGAGTGGGGTAGCTTAGTGGTAGGACACTGAGCTTCCAATGCTAAAGGTTCCAGGTTCGAATCCCGGCTGGCAAAAAAAATATTTATTTTGTTAACAGCATCTATAAAGTTGGTACCCTTAATTAAAATAATTGATTGAAGGGAAAAACCTGGTGGCTGAGCATGATCTTGGTCTAATCACCTCCTTGCACAACCGTAGACCAAGAAACAGTGCTTTCGCTAAATAGTACTGAATCCAAGACCCTTCATGGGTTGTAGTGAACGTTTTTTTTTTAAATAAATGTAAGACAATAACTGGTTTAAGAAGTCGGATAGTATTAAAAAAATAAATTTAACCTGTGGACTGCTTCAAAAAGTAACTGCACATTGATAATCCACCAAGTTTTCTTTATAAAATTGGTGGAAGAAAACAATGACTTCATTTCGTACTTCACATTCATGAACTTCTTGAAACCACACAAAGGACTAAAATGTCTTGACTCATCGAATATATTTTTTTTCCTTGTTAAAAATTTTACTATTAACTATTTAATTTAAGTACACTTTGGGATATATACTGGATACAATGTGCCTCGTCGAAATAGGAAAGCTATATTGTGATATAATCGCTTTTTTTGAAGTGATACCCCTCTTTATTTTAGTAAATTTAGTAAATTATTTTTCTAAATCACTTTGATGCAGTTGTATTTTCTAGGCTCGTATTTTCGCACAGTTTTGTTCAAACACATATCATTTATCAGACGAAGTATAGTTACTACCGTGAACGATAAGTCTTCTGCCTCCTGTGACAGAAAAGCAATCGCTCTGGGTAATGCGAGCAATTCAATTATCTGGTCTTTGTCCTATTTATAGGAGATGGAATGGGTCTCCAGGATAAATGAGGTTACATTTTTTGTTTGTGATGCTGTAGCATTTTATTCCTATCGGTCAAATTTACTGCATTTATGGAAATTAAATCCCTCATTTTATTTTAACACAAGATTACAAAAATGCGATATATAATAATAAGTACGAAAAAATCAACCTTAAGGTTATTGAAAACATAAAATGGTACAAAAAAATATTTGAAATATCACTTATAAACGATAAAATTCTCGGTTTAAATTTTGTTATTACTAGAGGAATTCCCCCTGTCGGCTTAAGGGGGGACCAACCCCCATTTTACAAATTATAAAACTGTTTATTTAATTATACTATTCGTTGCTCGAATCATATAACTTTAATTTACATGTATTTTGCAGTTCAGATTGTAATATTTTTTATCAACATAAAATAAACTGAACGAAACAGTTCGCACAAATTTTTATTTCTTTAAAAATTTATTGTTATCCTACCTCACTATAACTAGTGCCCATGTGACAGATTGTTGTAATCTATATATATATATAAAAATTAATGTATATCTGTCTGTCTGTCTGTTTGTCCTTTGTGCATTAGTAAACCATTCATCCGATCGCCATGAAACTTTGGGAAGTTGTTCCGTACACTCCTGGGAAGGTTTCTGGCATAGTACTTCTGTCTTACGATAATTTTGTATATGTAAAAAAAAAATGTAAATGTTTTTCTGT